CATCCATATTTTATAATAAGAGTTGATATTTTATTTTATTTTTATTTATACATTTATTTATATATATATATTTCGTTCGTTATTTTGTTTTTTTGTATTTAAAAATTTTTGTTCTATTTTCTTTGTATTCGAAAAAGCTTAGCCTGATGATGGCCAATAGAGTTGGCTGAAAACGTTAGCTTTTCATTAAAAGTTTTCTCAGCAAATTAAGGTGTTGTGTTATTTTTGAGTTTACAAGCAAGTGCTGAGTGAGTGTAATATAGTTATTTCTGTTGTCACAATACTCCCAAACAACTGTTTCAAATTTCAACTGTTCAAAAACTTTTAAAACATGGTATCAACATTTATGAAATCCAATGTTACAGAATTGCAACTACCTTTGCTTTTTTCAGTTGTTTGGAAAAGTTTACCAATGGAATGCTTTGCTGACTTGTGTTCTATTTTTTGTAAAGATTCTGTTGATGGGATGTGTAGTCCCAAAAAATGCTTATATTGTGATTAAAAAAATTAGAGATTTTTTAATCTCTTTAGCATCATCTGTTTCTTAGTTTCTCATGGGGTTGTCTAATATTTATGTAAGTGATTATCTGTTTTATAAATGGAATTTAAGAAACATAAATTTAAGCCACTGATACAGGAAACAATAGAGGGTTTAATGAACACTAAAATTACAGATTAAAACCTTAGCAAAGACTTTTGCTTGATTGATCAACTTTCTTCAAGCAAAAAAGGATTCAAAATAAAATATTTCCAAATTATATATGAATGAAACATATATAAAATAAAAGTTGGATTTTGGTATTGTTTTATGACAAAAAGAAATAACAAGTTAAGGAAGAAATATTAAGCAGAGGGAGATGACATTAAGTTTGCCAACACTGTCTTTGAAAAATTTTTCAATTTAGAATTTCTAAAGATTCTTTAATAAAAATGTCAGGAACATTTTTACCAAAGAAAATCTATAGCCTTTTTATAACAATCTTGTAATACCATAAAACAAAAATGAAAAAATGATGTTAACATTAGTAAAACAAATATCTTCTCTTTGATTCATGTAGTATCTAATGAATTTCTTGATGATAAATGAAATAATTGATAAATTAACATTACAGTAGAGCATCGATTTTCCGAAATTCAATCATCCGAAAGAATTCGTCAACAAATTTAAATTTTCGCCAGTGCTGTGGTGCTTCAATCTTTGGCTATGTCTTGGGCTACTCAAATATTTTACGTTTTTGATACTAAATTAACATCTGAAGTATAATTTTTTATTGTTTTTATATTTTTCAATATACTTATTTTGTTTGTACAAAATAAAAAAATAATTTTTAACGATACAATAGTCTTTGTTAGACTTATCATCGACGAAAATTCAACGCAAAGCGACACGCAACGGAGAAAAATTTCAACATTGGATACTTTAAACTATTTTTTCGTACATAAATCGGTTATCCGAAATATCAGTTATACAAACAACCCCAGTCCCCAATTGATTCGGAAAATCGACGCTCTACTGTATATATTTATAAAATATTAGCCGA